TGCAAAGCTTTAATCCCATCAATCTACCCTCTAAATAAAATGTTTTGTCCTCTAGACAGAATTGCTCTGACAATACAAACTCATCGTTCTATTTAATCTGTCAGGTCATGGCCCCAGAGATTATGATGAGCTGTCTCTCAAAGCCCCACTGTGCTGCAATACAACATCTCTTGGATAAATCACAAGCTCCTCACCCAAAAAACAGGGACTTTGCTACAGCTCTAGGGTGTATTTCCTTGTTTCTAATAGTTTCTTTCACTGACGGGAATATAATTGCACGTGGGAGCATCAGTCATATGTCACTCTTTTGTTCATTTTTGGCCAAGGTGTAACCATACAGCAGCAATCTACAGCTTTTAGACATCTAAAATAAACTGTAATGATTGAAGGGGATTAATCTGAAGCTAGAATTTTGCAGGTAGAAATTTATTCTGTATTAGCTGAAGAATACGTACACATTAATTATTCTTTTACTAATTCAAATAGAAATAGTAGTACTGCAAGGGGAACAAATATTTGTTTCCTCATTTGCACAAATAATATTTATAAATAGATGAGTGAGCAAACTATTTGTGTAAACACTCCCTAAAGAACACAGGGTATGACCAACCTTGCAGCCAAGTTATACACAGGAGATTTTGGACCTCAAATATTACATTAAGAGTATATTGTTTTCCCTTCCCATTTAACACACATGTCCTTTCAAAGCACACAAAAGCTGCTGGTTGGATTTAGAAATAAATAAGTCCCAGCCTCTCTTTACACCTGCAGATGCACAGACTGTATGCAAAAATTCTTACACTGAAGTTGCTGTGCAAGTAAGCATCATTTTTATTCCTGCTTTTGCCTATCACTGTCTCACTATCACAGATAACTGCTAGAACAGTAGGTGAAGAATGGGTCCCTTCAGTAATTTCGAGTCCAAATGCACATGTAGAGCTACTAATCCAACTTAACAAGCAAAACCATGTTGCTCCGAGACCTCTCCTCAAAAATCTACTTTGAACTTAAAGTATAAAAATAAAATATGCCACAGTCCTCTGGCACTTCTACACAACTGCCTGTCTCCTTATTTTCTTTATTTGCATTTTGCTCTTTCAAGATTTCTGCTGGCATTTTCTGATTAACACCTTTGGAGATTACAGTACCACCACAGTGCTTTCATATTCTACTTCAGGTCTCTTCTCTTTATACTTAAAACAGAGACCAGTATTAAGTGAATGCAACCTTTGATTATAAAGTTCCCACACTACTGACATGAAAAATACCTCACCATTGCACAAGAAATCTAGAGGGAGAAAAGTGAACAGTTTGGAGACTCCACATTAATGTGAGAACAGTGTCTCTTAATGGACTATCTGCTATTATAATCACTGCAGGCTTTGGTACAGGAGTCACAGGGAGATTCTATTCCTCAACAACTTCTTTTTCAGATGCCCCTTGGCAAAACTGCAAAAAAATAATATCAGTTCTCAATATGCAGCTACCTGGGCAGCCCCTCTTTCTGTTTTGTTAAAGACATTGGCACGAGGATGGATTTGGAATTAAATACAGGATGCAATACTGGAGAGAAGAACAACTATTTCATTTAATTTCCCTACGCTGATGAAAAGGTTAATCATAAAGTTGAAATATCAAGTTGGATGTTTTTTGTTGTTCACTCACTGATCAACAGGAACACCAGGCAGCTGAATAAAAAACCCAACTTGCCCCCCACTCCCTTCAATTAACATTTACAAAAAGGAAAATCTGAGAGTGTTCAGCAGCCAAATCTCAGCAATTATTAAAAAGCATAACACAAATAATCTATCAAATCATATATTGCTAAAGAAAGAACTAGTGCTGGAACATGTCAAATGGCAAAACAAGTTCCATTCAAACAAGTATTGTGGAATGGCAGCAACAATGTATTGTAATAAGTTACTATAATTAGTAATACAAGCCTCAAAATAACTGCATCCTCCCAATCTTCCTATATTCTGGATATGATAAAATCTCTTTTTTTTTCCCTCCAGTGTAACTAAAATGGTAATTCAAAGCTGATTTAGGATCAAAGACAGCCTCAAGGTTATAAATAGTTGTAGCTGGCTGTGAAGTGTTCTCATCAAAATTTCTTGGAAGTGGATGCCCTGCTACAAGGGTAGTACACTTGAAGGAACCAAACTACAATAAGATATTTTCTGAAAGAATTATAGACAGGGAGAAAAAACTTTGAGGAAGAAAAAAAAATGCCACAGGATCTAAGTGCTGTTAGCTGAAAATTATTATAAAATGGGACATTTAATGTATCTGGAAAAAAAAAAAATCCGCACCAGAAAACCAACCCCAACATCACTAATGAGCAAATATTGATTGCCACTGAGAAGTCCAAAATACTTGAGTAATTCTTTATTCTTTCTATCCAGTGTTTTCACAGGACACAAGCAATTACAGCAGCTTTGTTTTTTCTTCATGATTGGCAAAAATCCTGGTTTATAATTCCTCTAGGTACCTACTTCAATATTTGCATTTATATTTAAATTATTTTCTTCTAGTTTTCAATAGTTTCAAAACCAATCTACTTTAAGTTTTCAAAGTAGTTCCACAAATATGCCATTTTGGAAGCGTTCTTTTATGCATTATATGAGGCAGCAAAGCAAGACAGAAGCAGTGGAAACTTCTAGAGACAAAAGAAACTGCCAATCTTTTCCTGACCTCCAAGGTGGTTTGCAGACCTAAAGAGCCTAAATAATTCTGGAATTGAAACTAAGTTCCAAACCGAACTGATCCCATTTAGGGATACTAAAGATACAGACTAAGAATTCCCAGGCAGAAGAAAGGTATGAAATAACAATTCTGCATAAACCATGAGCTCTTCAATTACCTGAATCTCAACAAACCCTCCCCCTAGAGAAGGTGGCTTTGCATTGCTGAAATTTATGTTAAATTTTCCTTAAGTGTAATTTCCATCTCATGAGAAGCTGTACTAACACACCCTGTCAATGTGCAGTATGCAAAAAAATCCCTGTGGATCACTACAGTATATTCGAATCCAGTTGTTTGGGGCATATCTTCTGGATTGCATCTACTTCTTTTTAATACATTTATTATTAAAAAACCCTAGTAGTATCGCTATTTATTCCCAATTGTTGTCCTCTTGAGCAATCAGACCAATTCATTTAGGGATCTGAAGGAACAAGCATAACGAATACAATTTAAGGGATGGCCTATGCTACAAACATCACATTTCAAGTTGTTTTTCTCCCCTTGTTATCAGTGCTGAATAATTAAGGCATGCACAAAACCTGAGTCCATAGCTGAAAAGTGCACTTGAATATTTGAGACCTGCTCAGAGACTGATGACCTTTCAGGTGAGAAGGCGAGAGATCGGATCCAACAACTTGCTCACAGGTTATGATGCATTAGCATTACAAATTCCAGAGCCTTTGGGATCACGGGGGCCGGCACCCATTGGGATAAGATGATGGGGCAACATACAATGACAAAATTAAAAAGTCAGGTGACAGGATTATGATTTTAATCAGTGTAACTATGTTTCTTTATGTATTTTGCCTTGGTTAATTTTCTCCAATTTGACAACTGCTTTTTCCAGTATAATCAGTTTAAATAGTTCAGCCTTCCAACACAACATTTTGCCTGGCTGTGCCATGTGCGGGCTGCAGATTTTTCCTCTGGCAGTTCTACATAACCTGCATGTGTGAGCAATCCTGTGATCACCTGTACCTATCACACTTGTCTCCCTAAAACCAAACAGTGAAATCATGGAAGTAGCATCCTTGGGTGTTACTATGTCAAACCTCAAAACTCAGAAATACGTCTCTCAGTGCATCTCTGCCTTGCAAGTGGAAAGGGAAGCTACAGACACACACAACTCCTCATGTCACCAGTTTATACGTGCCATGATCTTCAGCTGACAAGATCATTTTTTGCTGTGAAAAAGAACCATATTGTAAAACACATCACTAAACACCTAGGGAAATAAATAAATTAGAAGTGCTAGTGGAGCCACAGGAAGAGAGAAAACTCCTCCTCAGTCATACCTTACCACAGCAGACTACAAACCAGTGAGACATGGTCAGGAATTTACCACCTCAGCAATACAGTAACAGCAATCAGTGCAAGTACTTGAAAAGACTCCTGATTACATCCTATGTCTCTAATTTTCAACAAGGAGCCAAAGCACTGAGAATAACATATACATTTTTATTTTCCCAAATAATAAGACTTCCTGGTAAAGGAAGCCCAAGATGGGAGCAGACAGCTGCAAGTGTCAGTAGGAATCTCAAAAAGCCAGGACTACAGCCTGGGCTGTAATACAACAGATATTGTTTATTCTGCAAAGCACGGAATTATCACCACGGCTCAGGAGGCAGATCAATAGATTAGAAGGAACCTTACAGTCATCACAATGTCCTCTCTTCTCAAAAAACAATCTCCCCCAGTGCTTTAGGCATAAGTTTTGTTTTCAGTGTAGCAACAGAAGTTACAGGTGTATATATACAAGTATGCATACAGAAGTGTGCATTTATATATAGAGAGACAGACACAGTCTTAAGGCTTTGGACATAATAACATTCCACCAAGGAACCCTAAAGCAACCATTACACTGGAAACCCTTTTGAAATTCACACAGTCAATGAGTGTATATGCAAACCACAGCCAAACTAGACGGAAATTATTTCAGAAATAAAGTGCACAAGCACCTGAAAACGAACACCAAATATATTTTTAACAGAGAAGTAAACTAAATACTCGAGAAGATGTGGCAAAAAAAGTAAAAACAGTTAAAGGCTCTAGTCAAGTTGACTTCTCACAGAGGACAAACTCATGAAAAATAACCAGAACAAAGAAAATGATGGATATTTAACCAGAAAAATTAACAGAGACTGGTGCTGAGAGAAATAATGCAGACTGTAGAATTCACAAGGTCTTTGGATGAGCAAGAAACATTTTTCAGAAACTTTGTTTACAATATACCCGGTGTCATTTGTAACCATTACCTTAGAGGAGACTTTCAGCAGGGGATAAACTCTGAAAACACTTCCCAGAGAGGTGTTTGGACTTCTCTGTTGAATCTGAAAAACAGAAAATCACTAGGTAAAGCCATCAGCTTATGACACAGAGGCAGTACTGGCAAAAGTGACAGAAAATATCCGTATAAGAAATCTGCCCACTGAACAGAGAATGTGTCAAGGAGAGAGGTGGATTAGTGGTTTTATCTCAGAAGTGACAGATTTCTGCATTTCAGAAGTGCCATGCTGGAGTGGGTGATGGAGGGACTTACATGATCAAGAAGAACCTGTGGTTCACCAATAGCCAAGGGTTTTGATTTGATCTAAACTCTTTTGTAAAATCCTGAGATTAACCCCATACAGCCACTTTTCCCCTTTGAATTTCAGCAAGATGTATTTCAGGGAGGCTGCACAACATTAGAAATATATATATATATATATCCAAATAACATAAACTGAGGACAGGTTGGAAAAAAGTATAACATGAAGGTTTTGAACCTTCCTCCTACACCTCCCCACCCACCCAAGGAATAAAAAGCACTTTCAGGTGGCAATAAACTTTGTGGGATATGCAGCTGGAAGGTGGCATATTCTATTCATTTATCATTTATAGACAGACCATCAGGAAGTCATTACACTGTGAAGATTGGATCTCTGCACAATTGTGGTGTAATTGAGCTCTGCTGTACACAAATATTGTAGATAATAACACACAAAAAGGTTTGCAGTATTGGACTTGTTCTTTTCCTGCGTTACAGTGTTAGGTTCAATCCAGACAGAAGAAATAAAGAAAGGAAAGTTTTCCCAAAACTTAAACAGATTTTGATGGATTAGAACCTATTTTGTTTACTTTTGTTTAGTGTTAAAATTAGACAGCTTTGAAGCCTGGCTCTGATTCCAGCTCGTTTGTGGCTATGACCTGAACCCCTCCTCTATCTGACAGCAGAGTGGACTACTACCAGGAAATAATGAAGCAGAAGGGAAGGTGGAAAAGCAGTCAGCCTGGTTTAATGGACACATCTCAATTCACAGGTCAGAAGTGCCCACACTGCTTTTAAGTCAGCACCACTGCCCTGACGACACTTTTAAGCTGCTTCTTGCAACATCAGGATCACCGTGGATGACAGACTTGCTGCAGGCTAAATTCAAGGAATATGCAGAGATCCTGTAATGGTTACAGATACTTCAATATCTCATGTCTGTTTTGGCAGGGGATAATATTAGCACTATTGAGATAAGGCTACAGTAGTGCTGTTTGAAAATATCTGTATCCTGCCTGCTGGGCTGTGATAAACAGTCGTGTGTTTCACACATTAGGTGGGAGCATTAACAGTCCCCGTGCAGGCACTTGGAAGTAGAAGGAAGACACAAAAAAGTCTGTGGTGTGCTGGAAGTAGGAGCAATCCTGCCCAGGTGAACCTGTACTGCTCAACTCCTATCTCACTTCAGGATCTTATAAGCTCAACTCAACTGTTACCGGGCTTAGGTTCTGATTTGAAAATATGATAAAGAATTGAAGAGAAGAGGCAGAAAGCAAAAATTCAGCACAGGAGAGTGGAGCCAAGTGAGGGCCACATAGATCCATTTACTCTGTGACAGAAGAGGGACGGATAGAAATACTCCCTAAAACATGAATACCACATTTTCATTCTACCTACAGCATCAGCATTACACAACCCACTTTGAAGAGTTTTCGTTTCTAATACACACCAAAGAATTCTCCTCTCCGACAAGAGGCACTTTTGTTTCAGTGACTTTTTGAAGAGAGGAGAATACTCAGAAACTGCTTAAGGTTTAAAAGAAAAGAGGTAGAAAAAAACATCTGCATTCAGAATGGTTTTGCTATGCCCACAACTAAACAGCTTTACAAAACTCCACCATGCTCTATGCTCCACCCTTTCTTTCTCCTTACAATTGTTCGCTCTGTCCCTGTGATTAAATACTACCCTCAAACTTTCCAAGCATTCTTCTCTGCCTTTTGGAAGGACAGCTTTTTATTTATGAGTGTCTTTGCCAATCTGAGTGCACAGGTCAGATAACATCAAAGTTCTGAGCCATCAGGATTTGTTTCAGACGCAGAAGGAACAACAGTGAAATTTCTAAAATTAATTAAAGTTCTGGAAATCTTACTCCCCAGTAATTTGGGGCCAAAGAGTTGCAGCCCAGGCTACTTTGGAATTATTTTTTAAGAACAGTTATAATAGGTTCTCATGGGTTTGTAGTCATGGAGAATTGTTCCCATCACTTCAGTTGAGTGGAACTGCTTAAGAATTATTGGAAGAAAATAGAAAGAACATTTCCTTCACAGTGCTTTCTCTACAAACAATAAGGGTAACTACCTGAAAGCAATTTCCTTTCCTACACTATGTCTTAATATTAACATAATCATAAACACTTAAGACAGCATTCTCCTCACATCTCCATTATTAATCTCTTAAAGTTGAGTTATGAACAACATAAAACATTAATGCATCATGTCCTAATAATTGTTGTCTTATTAGAGCATTTGCCCCATATGCCTTGTTAGATGGTTTGTGCTCATAAGGAAGATAAGTTTCCATTTACAAGAAGATATTAAAAAACAACCCCAGCAACCAAACCAAAACAATACACCCTGTCAATATTACTTCCATCAACAGCATTTTCATATATTAATAAAAAATTAATGAAGCAGACAAAATGTAGTAATCTGGTTAAATATTAATTTTATACTTCCTAATTTTTTTGAGAGCCTGTCTGCTGAACTTTGAGCAGTACTTACTGACAGCACCTGAGCCCCCACCCTGCCTCCTCAGAGCAGCTCTCTGTACTCACACAAGAGCAGAGTGATCCCACTGACCCTGGTGAGAACCACCTACAGCCCCAGCCATGGCACTCAACAGCTGCCAACCAGAGAGCAATAAAGCTGTGGCACCAACAACTCCAGCATCTGCTCTGCACACACTGCTAAATAGCTGTTCCCATGGCAAACGGTCCTGCAAATGGAAAGTACTCCCTCAGAATCAAAGAAATGCAGCCAAGTCCTCATCAGCCACTGAGATGGTTAAAAAACATCCCTAAAGGAGGTGGGAGAGTCCTCAATCACACATGAAACTTCTGTCCTCTGGACTTCCAGCATGTGGTTTATTTTATTACAGTAATATGGTAAATTTGCATGGTTTTAGGTTCAAATGTATGATATTTAGTTGGATAAACACACCAGTACATTCAGGTCAGAGGAAGGAGGGTTATTTTTCAGTTTCTGCTTCCTGCCTAAACATCACAATTGCTTGCTCTTTAATTTTGAAGTTGGCAGTCAGCAGACAGTGATCCTACAAGAGAGATTGATCTCTCAACAAACTTAGACCAGTCAGGAAAACACGGCTGAAGGAGGGTTTAAAAAGATAATAACCTTTCTGACTACAAACAAATTTGCCATCAAAGCAACTCCTAACAGGATTTCATTAGCAGAAGCTGAGCCCTCAGCCACAGTGAGGGTACCAATGCCTATAAGTACATTTCTCAAGAGAGGAATGGTGTGATGGCTGGAGCAGAGAACCTGCATGCACAGGTCTGTGCATTCTAATTCCATCTCTGTCACCGGCTTGGTGATCATGAGCCAGTCACAAAGTGTTTGCTTCAATTCCTTCATCTGTATAATGGCAATGATATCTAATTCAGAGGGATGCTGTGAGGATTAATTAGTTAATGTTGGTAAGTGCTTTGAAGATGAAAAGAGCTACAGAAGAGATAATCAGTTTTACAGTCTCTAAAAGCTTTTACCATGTCTGCAGAATTATTTTGGAGTACCACATGAATATCATCTGAGAGGATCTGTCATTTATCACGTACATCCAGAAGAAGGGAGGGGGTGGGGGTTGGAAGGAGCAGGTGTGCAAATGTTTCAGTGTTAAATCACGTATCCTGTTCTGAAATCTGCAGGGAAACAGCACAAAGCTCAAACTTCCTCGGTACAATCTACCTGGGCATTGCTACCACTTTCTTAAGAAAAAAAACACCAAATGTCTTTGTTGATTTAACTCTTCCCTTCTGCTTGATTTGAAATTCTGAAACCATGGTGACTCTTAGGATTCTTTTCTGTGTATCTGTATATTTTGCCTTTTCTTGGTATATATATCATAAAGGACTATGAGATAACTCATTATCTGAAGAAGTGTGTTTAAGGTAGAATATACATATATTTTGCTTTGGAAGACTTTTTTGATTGCCTAGAAAGTCTTCAATATGTACATCTCAGCTGCATTTCCTGCCTTAACTGATTTGCATTTACAATAATCAAAATGGAAGTCTGTAATGAAAGAGAGTTTTCTTAAACTTTGCTAAGTCAGCCAGGATACAGAATCATAAATGGTTGAAAAATTTCAGAATTTAAAAAAAAATAAAAATGTCTGTACTAACTCTACCTTACTCAGATATTTTCATACCCACATAAGAACAGCTATATCTCCTCTTCCATTTTTAAGTAGAACAGTTTCCACAAATTATTTTCAGCACAGACCATTAAAAGAATGTCAACCTGTATATATGGAACTTCTTCACAGCTTGTGTGTTTTTCTGGATAAACTGCTTCCAAGTATCATAATTACGTACAGCATTTTGATTAAGAACATATTCCTGAATACACATTTTTCAAATAATCCTCAGAAAAAAAATTATTTAATCTGAAAAATGCTCTCTAAATACAAGGCAGCAAGACCAGTACAGATAACTGATGTATTAGAGTGCAAAGGTGACGGATATATAGATATATATATACACATCTGTGCTTTATTCCAAGATAAAAACAATGCTGACTGCTTCACATAAAATTTCTGCAACAATCAAATACAAAGCTTCACTAAGCCATATTTTCCTCTTTAAAAAACAATGTCCAGTGGTTGTCCTACTGATTCTCAGTAGTTAGAGTACCATTAACACATGATGAGACAATTCATATCCGACACTGCTGGGCAATGAAATATATTTTGCTGTTGCTTATGATCATTATATTTTGCTCACAGCCCTTCTCCTGCCTTATGTCAAATGTCAACATTGACAGGGTTGAAGGGAAAAAAAGGCAAATA